TCAAACTGAAGACATGATTATGTCTTGAAAATTTACTGAAAAAAATAGTCAAGAAGCAGATCTCGACAGATGTTGCCACTCCGCGAAATATGAAAAAGATGAACTTCACAGATCTTCCACGTGTTCTCGCGAATATCGAATTGTCAGAATATTACTAAGGCGTAAGGCATTTAACATATCTTGTTTGCGCCCTCGCGCATAACGATTTCTCGATATGTTGCCATTCGACGAAGCATGAGATCAATAATTTTATCTTTCAGATTTAAGCAATATGTTACTGATTTAATAGAGCTTATAACTACTTTGGAATTACTTTGTAAATAAAGCTACCGTTAGTGCAGATATAATTAGACGACATTTAGCGTTATAATATGACTGAAAACACAATTAAGTTTGGGCACAGCAATGGCCGAACTGACAAGAATCTGGGTATTTTCTCGCGTTCCTTATGTGCAACATGAAAACAGCGATTATTTCCCTTAGAAAGTCTTCCACGAAGATACCCGTCCCGTTAGACGTTTTCATACATTCAATTAAACTAACTGTTCACCCATACATTGCTCAACAAATTTCACAGTTTTTAATTTTATTCGAAATAGTTTCTCCTCAGGGACTTTTGACAGAAAACTTACTTAAATTTTATACAGGGTGAATCCCAAAAAGTGGGCAAGACTTAACGTGGTGATAGAACGCAGCTATACGAGCAATATTCATCATAGAAGGCATGTTCCGAACACAAACGGTGAGATGTTAAAAAGTATAAAATGAAACAGGCAAATCGACAACCTTGTATTCGGCTTAGATTTTATAAAATCCCAGTCAATTTCTAGGGCAAAATCGGATTCTCCTTCATCAGGAGCGAAATCTTCTGGAGGGAAAAATAAAGTGGGACCCGTTTTTGCCCTCGAAATCAATTGGGATTTTACAAAATCTACTACGAATACAACTTTGTCGATTTTGCCTGTTTTATTTACCTCGTCGGCGTATTTCTCTTGCGTCTTGATGTTAAAGGTAGTTTTCCACTGACACAGTTAAAGAATTAACATAAGAGTAGATACTTCAGAAAACAGGTATGTCATTTTATTAAAAGGTATGTCATTGATGTACGTGCTCAAAAGACCTTCCGCCAGCTGTAATGCAGGCTTCACACCTGTAGGATAGAGCTTGACGCACATTTTCGAACACACAATTAATTTCCTGAATATCTCTGCCAAGAGCGGCAATCCTGGCGACTAGTTCCATATTGGTTTCAACACGACGCTCGTATGTTAGACTTTTTATATGACCATATAGGAAAACGTTCAAACACGAGAAAGCCTGTGATCTTAGTTATGGGATCGCCTCGTCCTATCCATCTCCCTGGAAGTTTGGCAGTTCGTATAACCAGCCATCCTCTCTACAATCCACAGTAGAAAATACCGTTGGATGTGAGAAAGCTCCTTTTTTTATGCTATTTACAATGCCAGCTAGCGTCTCGCCGTTTGCGTTTTGTCCAAACTTTCTATGACGAATTTTCCTTGTATAGCTGCGTTCTAACACTTCGTAAAGTTTTATCCACTTTTTCAGATTCATCCTGTATTGCAAATCTGAATTGTATTAAATAGAAGGCTAATTAATAACTAGTACCATTACAGTAATTTAACAGGATGAGCTTGGATGAAAAAATTAGGCATTTTTCTAGTGCAGGCATTGTATTTAATATTATGCTTGTATCTTTCTACCTGAAACTATGAAAAATACTTCCTGCAGCGTAAGAAACGCCAGCCAGCGGGTGAGCGGTAACTTCTTTAAGCACTGATAGTTCGACCTGGGTCCAATTCCAGGCGAACGGGATGGCTGCATGGGCGTTTTCTTAGCTTTCTTGATATCTTACGACGATACGAGTCAATTTCCCATAGAAAGTTTTCTACGAATGCATCTTTATAATAAAATAAACCAAACCAATGACTTTTAACTGTTCATTGGAAATATTTGTCTTACTAATTCAGAAGTCAAACAACAAAAATCAGCGTTAATTTAAAAAATTTTCACAGGACTAGTTTCGATGGTTTTACCGAACCATCATCTTCAGCTGCAAAACCGCAAATGAACAAGATAGGAAATAATGTTTAGATAAGATAAGAAAGCCTGGACAAGAATAAGCAAGTGGCGCCATCTGTTGGCGAAACCAGAACTAAAACATAATTTCTCTAAAAGCCGAAGGCAAATTTGGATTGGAATTAGGATCGTTAACTAGAACAGAAAGATTTTTATGAATGTGAAATGCCTCTAGAAAATCCAGTTCTCCAATGGAAGATGTTTTTTGAATAATTTTGGCAGCAGAAAAATCGAAAGTGTGATTTTCGGACCAACAATGCTGAGCAACAGAAGACTTCTGTGTTTCCTTTTTTCTAACATATGCCTCATGTTCTTTGACGCGAAATTAATAATGTTGGGTGAAAAAAAAAAGTAAAAGCAATAGCTATTGACAGGGGCTTTTCACCCAACATTATTAATCAAGCAGTTAAAAAATTCTCATCTCAACACACTAAAAGCCACACTCTTATTTTAGGAGATTATAAAAATTCTGTTGTCATTCCCTTCTTTCCATCAATTAGCTATAAAGTTGCACATATTTTGCAGAAATTTAACTTTCGGGTTGTTACTCTCCCATCAATAAAATTCCAACTTCTATACTCAAGGACCCCATTCCGGATACGAATTCCTGGGGGTATTTATAGGATTCCTTGCCAGTGTGGTTTTTAATTTACATTGGCCAAACTAAGAGAGCCTTAAAATTTCGCGTCAAAGAACATGAGGCATATGTTAGAAAAAAGGAAACACAGAAGTCTTCTGTTGCTCAGCATTGTTGGTCCGAAAAATCACACTTTCGATTTTTCTGCTGCCAAAATTATTCAAAAACATCTTCCATTGGAGAACTGGATTTTCTAGAGGCATTTCACATTCATAAAAATCTTTCTGTTCTAGTTAACGATCCTAATTCCAATCCAAATTTGCCTTCGGCTTTTAGAGAAATTATGTTTTAGTTCTGGTTTCGCCAACAGATGGCGCACTTGCTTATTCTTGTCCAGGCTTTCTTATCTTATCTAAACATTATTTCCTATCTTGTTCATTTGCGGTTTTGCAGCTGAAGATGATGGTTCGGTAAAACCATCGAAACTAGTCCTGTGAAAATTTTTTAAATTAACGCTGATTTTTGTTGTTTGACTTCTGAATTAGTATTTATTCGGCGTGTTATTGTGTCTTAATTTGTCTTACTAGTTCGTAATCAATACTATTGTTGAAATTTTTAATACGAGTAGCAATATTATGCACTACGTATGGATGTAAATCAGAGTATGTTCTACTAAGGCCACTCAAGACTTTATTTGATAAGATTGAGACCGTATAAGTTAGTTAACATTATGATCGGTTATTTTGTCTAAGATTAGGATCCCTTTGTATTACTTAGAAACTTGTTAAATAAAATAGCTAACCATTTTAGAAATATTGGGTATTGTTGTAATTTTTTATAATGATCATGATTACTAACGCTTTGTAGTTTTAACTGTCATGGGCAATTACTTTATGAATTATTTTATTATAATTATGTACTGAAATTACAACTGTAGTTCTAATAGAAATAGAGTTGTACGTAGAACCTTGTTTCCGAAACCTTTGTTGAAATGGAAAAGATAAATTAAATTTTCATGACTTATCTGTTGTTTAATATAAAATAAGGCCCGTTTCTTTTAAGAAAATCTTCGCAGAATCCCCATTACATAGGTTTAGATTCTTTATGCGATTTGCTTTAATCAAATCCACATACCTTTCGGGGGAAACACCGTAAACACATATATTTGTTTAACAAAATTACGCGTATTTATGTATGTGCTGAACTAAATTAGTTACAGTGAATCATTTCTGCTTTAACTGTATTTCTTTTATTTATTTACTGAAAATGTGTGTAATGTTTAATAAAGGATCAGTTTATATTTTATGTCAATACTACAAATTGCAATACATGCAAAAGTTAAGAAGGATGATTCCAGATGTTAAATATGAATATTTCTTTTAAAAGCGATCATCGTTTTGCATTATTTAGCAACTTGTTGCACAAAATAGCTAACTCTTTCAAATACACTGTATTTTATTGAAATTTTTAATTATGATTATGATTATTTAAGGCTTTGTAATTGTAGCTTCAATGGGCAATTACTTACTTAATTATTTCATCATAATTACATACTGCAATTTTAGTTAACTTATTAACGTTAATTATAACTGTAATTACACTGGTGTGCAAAAATTAAGGACGAAGTCGAAAAATTAGCATATCAGCTGAACGAAGAGGCAGAGCGGACAGAAAGACCAATCAGGAGATTAAGTAAGGTGATGTACGGTAGCACATGCGCAGATATGCAGGTAGACGTAATGGGGGAGTGTCTGAGTAGTATAAAGCATGTTGTCGGTGTAAGATCAGTATTTCTGGCAAAGAGATTGCACGCCGTATAGCAGTTAAAATCACACCGAGTTGCTGCCTCAGCGAGAAATGGCGAATAATCAATCTGTTAGACGACATCTGGATGCTTTTCCCGAGGTCGAATCATTGGGAAGTTGGAGGAAGGCCGCAGTGTGACAAGTGTGGCTGCAGAGTTCAGAATTGCTCATAGCATCGTTTCACGACTTTGGAGACAATTTCAAACTACAGGAACAATGACATTAAAAATAAAATAATCATATAAAAGAGAAAAATGATAGAAATTAATGTTTAAAACGTAATCTGAATCCCATCAATAGTGTCATTAAATCTAAGGTATCTTATTATTATTAAGTTATATATGGTATCACATATTTAATAACATTAATATCTGTGAGGTTACAAGTATGTGAATGCCAAAAAATATCTTACACGCTTTATGAAAAATCAATGTATTAATGATTAAAATTCTGTTATCGAAGTATTTTTTCGGATATTTATGTGAACATCTTCATCTAAGTTTTACCTCTCTTTTTTTCAGGAATGGAGTCTGTTCCCCGGTTTGGTGATGAAATTCCTGATGCAGATATATTCTCTACTTTTGATTTCATTTCCGAGAATTCAACTGGAAGTCGTTTATTCTTATCTAACGTTGGAAATGATACAGAAAATATTACACAAAGTAATCTGATCAAGCGTCTTCAACCGTACATGAACAACAGGGCTATTGATGACAATGCCCTGATAGCTCTTCTTATAGCATATGTAATCCTTATAATTACTGGAGCTAGTGGAAATGGATTAGTTTGCATGGCTGTAGCAAGAAAACCTGCTATGCGTACAGCTCGGAATGTTTTCATCATCAATCTCGCTATATCGGACTTGATTTTATGTCTTTTTACAATGCCATTTTCTCTTGTTGAGATAATGATGAAATTTTGGCCCCTTGGCGTTTTGACCTGCAAATTAGTGGCTGGGTTGCAGGCTACTAGTATATTTGTTAGCACCATAAGCATAACAGCAATTGCTCTGGATCGATACAAAGTAATCGTTTACCCTACCCAAGATACTTGCCGTCCACTGCGTGCTTTCTTGACCCTATCTTGTATATGGATTATAGCACTGCTATTATCTACGCCATTATTCCTGTTTAGAACAGTCGTACATTTTCCAGTAAAACTTCCTTTTCTGGAGTCTGTGAATTACTGTATTGAGCGATGGCCGATTCAGCATGGCAGAGGCTTTTATTCTGCCTTTTCCATGTTTTTCCAGTACTTGCTTCCAATATTCATTGTTAGTCTAGCATATGCTCGAATATGCAAGAAGCTCAAATACAGAATGGTTGCGAAGGGTACAAAACTTCAAGACAAACAAGCTCGGGATAAAAAGCGCGTTAAGAAGACTAACATCCTTTTAATTTCAATAGCTCTTATCTTCGGACTGAGCTGGATGCCCCTGAATATCCTGAATGTCGTGGCTGATTTCTTTTATCCCTTCTCTGATACATCCACCTTTCGCATTGTGTTTGCTTGCTGTCATATGGCTGGTATGAGCTCTGCATGCTCAAATCCTCTGCTCTATGGATGGCTGAACGAAAATTTCAGAAAGGAATTTAAGGAGATCTTTGCTAGTTGTGTCAAACCATCTCCCCCAAGAGTCAAAATTACTGCGGGAAACGAGGGTACTGAATCTTTTGTGTTATGCACTAAAAACCAAACAAACCAAACTACTATTCCTAATAATCAGCCTCCTGCGGATACTACAGTAATCGATGGTGTGGGGGTGCGTGCAATAAAATGACTAAAGAAGTACCATGACTCCCCGGAATCCGATTTCGTTTAGTTAAAATTTGCAAGAAGAATTCTTTAGTTTTAAACTTTCAGTTTCCTCGAGATACAAATTACCAGTGGCTGAACCTAGCTAAAATTTCCATGTGATATACATGTTCTATTGGTTTTCTTCATTTATTGCACTAAATTTTAAAGCTAATTTTCTAGCATAAAAACAATTGTTTAAAAAATTTTTAAGAAGTAAAATGACTTAAATAATGTTTAAAAAAACCCAATTAAATATATATTTCTTTATTGCCTGGAAAACTGAAGAATGGAATGACCATTTTTAAAAAAAGTGATTTCCGTAAGTATGTGTTAAGAAAATGCATTAATACCCTGAAATTATTATATTAGAGCGCATATTATGCGTGATTCTGAACTTTATATCCTATTTTCCTAAATTTATAGCTGACAAAACATATCGGTAGTATATGTACTGTTTTATCCGTCTTCTCACATTTTAGTTCGGAACATTAGGTCGTTAGGTGAGATTTTCGTAACAGATTTCCTCTTTTAACTCTTTCAATCTCTATTATGCTGTAAAATGTTTTAATGCAGTAAAATGAGCATTCGCTAAGTAAAATATCTTTATGCTCATTCTTCTGTATTACATTTAAGAGAAAGAAAAATAACAGCGTGTTTCAAAAAACAAGGTGTAGTGTTCAAAAAACACTGTTAGTATTTGAATCTTCTATTCATATATAAACATTATTATAAATGTGATGTACAGTTAATTTTGGTTAATCGGGCAACTATTTATGAAAGGACAAATCTTGAAAAACGTTACAATTCTGTAAAATAGCTGAGGCGTCCGATGATAGTTTCGAAGAACATGTTGCTTGGTTTGAACATACCCAAGCTGAATGATTTGGTGACTTAAGTGCATGAAAAATAGAAAAACTAGAGGAATAATTGATCTTAATTACATGTTTAAAAAGCTTAAAAGAAACTTATTTTATGACTTTTTGCAGAGGTTTTTCTTAACAGTTTCATCAGAAATTGATGACGACGCATCTGCAATTGGACTGATCGACCGATAAATATGTCATGCAGAAAGACAATGAGGACATTTTAAATGACTTCTCGGTATTATTTTATGAATTAGATATTCGTGATTTCACAGTTAGTCAAATTGCACAGCAAATTTATTTTATAAAAATTTTTTGTGCAAAAACCTCTTCGAGAATACAGCAGAATGCACATATATATTTTCTGCATGCGATAATTACTACAAAATAAGACACTTTTTATGCTATATTTTTGTTCTAAACTCTTGTAGTCGGGTATTATCTGGTATTTCGTTTAAAACAAGTATTTTTCTCAGTAAATCTCGGATATTTTTAGCTCGGAGATTTGATTTAAATAAAAGGCCAGAATGAGAAAAAAAGAGTTTAATTATCATAAACACACTGTTTAAATACTAAACAAACCACACAAGTAACTGCAATATCTGCAAACTGCATAGCTACCGCTAATTATATGTGACATCTAATTTAGCACTTTCAGTTCAGGCTTACATAGGCATTTTAGGCAGCGTAAGGACGCTGCCTAAAAGTATATTTGTATGCCTAAAAATAAATAGATACCAATGTATCGTTGATTTTTTCATAAAGTTTCTTTCTATGTCGTACTGAAGTACTATGTTTATTTAGGTAGCCTCTTATTATTCTAATCAGACACAAATTAAATCTAATCAGAACCGTATGCTAAAAATATCTAAAACGTGTATACACCTAAAAGTTATTTTTACAAACGCATTAGATTCTAAACAACACAGCATTAAATACTTTTCACGAGAGTATGCACAGATATTATCTGCAACACGTGCAATTGCAGAACACGTTTTACCTATCGTAATCTCGTAACCAACATTACAATTATTCTTGATGTTATTGCTGTGCTTTAACTACGTGAGTTTTCATAATACAACTTCAAGTTTGCCTTCCTGTTTCATTTATATTTTATACTGATATTATCAGAAAAATGCTGGGGGAAAACGACATTTATTTTCTAATTTTCAGTAAACACTATTGCGTTTAGTTTTCTGCAAGTATCCTTGCACAGTTTCTTAATTAATTTAATTTTTATCTTTCTTTTCCAAGTTTAAAGAGCTCTAGACAGCTCTCTGTGGTTCAAACTTTTGCGTTTTTTCAGATAATGAGTGACATTTGTAATACATTTTAAATACCGTATGTGATATTTGATTATGTTTTACATTTCATAACTACTTTTTATCATTTGTAAATATTTCAAGAATTAAAATTATTCTTGAAATATTTGTATTACAGATTTTTCAATTTAATTAACTTTTTTGGCTTTCAAATATGTCATTTAGTTCTTAATAAGTCCAATGTGTTTAGCGCACCCCGAACATTAAAAAACTATATTTATCAACTTATATAAATGTTTTGATACTTTTTATCTCTTGTGTTATCTCTATGTACGATTTTTGATAGATCTTTTCCCTTGATCATGTAATGTATTTATAAAGTAGTCATTCATAATGAGAATTACATGGCATCACTTCCAGTTATATAACAGGAGAGTAATATTTCGATAAAAAATATGAATATGAATGAATTTTATAATAAAGTTGAAGATTAATGTAAATAATCACATCTTATTAAGAGGAATAAATGTCAAAACTGAGCGTTGTACAAAGTAGTTAAAGTTATTAGCATAAAATCTTAAAATTCTATATGCTGTTAGTGATGTCAGAATTTTTTCAGTCATCTTTAAAAACTGAGTAATCTGTTAGAAACCAAGCTTGTTTTATATAAACTTAGATGTATAAATAATATGTGTGTAAACTGTATTTGTGAAATACGAATAAGTATGAAAATTTCAAATGTAATTTCGAGCTGCTCTTGTATATGCAGTGTGTTATATAATAATGTTATAATATTTATTGTAAGGTGATATGCGTGCTTTCTAAGTGTAATATAATATTGCATGTGTTACTAATGAAGTAGTATAAAGCATACTGGTTCCTTGAAACTTATTCGTTTTGTCATGAACCATAATGTAAGACTGGCTCATCCTGCATATTATAAAAGTACCTCACAAATAAGTAAGAGTTTCGTTGTAAGAATGACTCACATGTAAGAGTATGGCATGTTTTACATAAAAAATAATTAAATGGCCTATGAACTATATCTTGAGATGAAATTAAATGATCACGTCTGCCTTGAATGAAATAAATAATAGAAAAATTTAAAACGCTATTTATATGCATTTGACTGTTAGGCTTGCATATGAGAAGGGCATAGTTTTCAGAGAAAGAAAGCATTTAAATGAAAAGTATAGTTTTATATTAGGTCAAATCAAATATATTCGTTCTTTTTTTAATCTTTAATAGTTAGTAATTTAAAATTTTAGTGTATAGCTATATAATACAAAAGCATAAAAATAAATTAAACCGAAATTAACATATAAAAGGTAAAGGAAAACACAAGTGATTAATTCTAAAAACGACAAAATTTTTAAGAATATTAAGAAATTTTAATTAAAACTTAGTCTGTATTAATAACAATAAATCAAGGTAAGAAATATGTCTCCATGAGCTCCCAAAAGTTTGCAATTACTGTGTTTATGCTTCAAAAGTCTTAAATTCTTTCAAATAAAATTTGATGTAGAAAAGGCTAAATTAAATATGAACAGTTCAGTTTTTGAGAAACACTTTATTTTGCGAAAAGCTTGCGCAGATCTGAAACGTTTAATATATGCATCAGAATTAATGTGAAATTCTTATTTTACGGTTGCAATATTAGTTAACGATATCTAGGTATGCAACAGGTTAACATCGTATTACCTCAATTATTAAGAACTGAGGAATATTTCTTTTGAAACTATCTACACCGTCTGCAAAAGTGCTTACCTTAAAACTCTAGAGGAACTTGTTCTATATTACAGTGGATCAAAGGCTTTCTATTTTTAAGCGGTTTCAAGGCAGCAAAAATTTGCCTTCCAACTAACAAACCATGTTAACACGCATTAAAAGTTAATTTTTCCTGTGTTTAGAGAATAAATTTTATTTTAAAAAATTGTGCAATAAAATAAAATTTTAAATATAAGAAATTGATTAAAACAAGTGTATTATTTACTTAAAAATACCTTCTGCAGCAGTTATGCCAATCCTGATCAGATCATTATAAGCTGAAAAAAATATACCACAACAATGTAAGCGCATGCCAGGTATGCCGCTAAATCTAGTCGCAATTAGGTAATATAGTGCTATATAACAATAAAATTTTACAAAATAAAGATGAAATGCATGCGGAACGCAACATTAGTGTGCTCCCATTAAATTCGAACGACAAAATATTCATATGGTAGGTTATTTTTATTTTATTAAAGGGAGTCGGAAATTTGCGTATACTTGGTATTATATACAAATAATGAAAACAAAACAGATGCATCCTTCTTATGCATTCATGTAGAAAATGAAACAGATTTATAAACTTCTTTTAGATATGAGTTAAGCTGATATACCAATTTTAAAACCATCCTTAAAAGCGTTCTTCTGAAACTTACTAAATTTTTATGCGCCAAACCATGCCACGTGGGCGAAATACGTAGAGCTATAAAGCAAAATTTTATCAAATATATTCACTGCACTTGTTTATATATTTCAGTTTGTAGTGCATTCATGGAATAATTCTAAACCGGCTCTAAAAGCAGTCGGTCATGTATGGCTTGTTGAAACGCTTTAATTTAATTAGAAACACAAATATGACTCATTGCAGATTCATTATCTAAACAAAAAGAAGTTTCAAAATCCAAGACCATTTCTAAAACGATCTGATTTCTAATATTTCAGTCAAAAGAAACAAATCGCATCTTTGATGTCCAATACTTAGATGTAGATTTCAGTCTTTAAAATTCAGATTTCTAAACTTATATGGGAGTTACAGGAGTGGAGAAATAAAGAAATTAGTGTTTTGTCAGAAGGTCTCGTTTTATTAAAACTTGTTGAGTGAATGCGTTTTAGAAATTTAATACTTTTGCAGCAAAAGAAATGCAACAGCAGAATAAAAGTACAAGCTCTAAATAACGTAAAGGAGATTCTCCTTGAATAGTGATGGGGAAAACGGAGTAAGTTATACGGATAAATAAGAAATATTTTAAGATTTTAAAGTAACATTATAAATGTAATGATATGATGTCGAAGTAATGCCTGAAGGATACTGGCGTACTTATACTTATTTTCATGATTTTATGTCATATTGTTAACTTACCAATAAGCTTTTATAAATACATAGATAAGTAACTGAGATATTTTTAGATTTTAAAGTAGCGTGAGAAGTGTAGTGATATGATATCGAAGTAATGCCTGAAGGATACTGGCGTAGTTATACATATTTTCATGATCTTATGTCATGTTATTAATTTAACAATAAATTTTTAATAAATACATTGTAATAAAACGTGTTCTGAGTACAAGGCGATATCTACATATCTACAATAACACCTAAGTTAACAAACAATGAAAGAATTTTATATGACCGTGCTACAATTTTAATAAGTGCTTCAAGGCAAGTGCTTCAAAGCAAGTCCCTCTAACAATATAATCAGGTACGTAAATTACAATAAATAACACAACATTTCATCCACTATTAATATTTGAAAATGCATAATTTGGAAGATAAGGAATTTTTAACGTGAAAATTATTTTTAATGTAAAGCTTTCAGAAAGACGTAGGTAGTTAACAAGAAGTTTCAATAACTCATAATCTTTCATGTTTTGTCATGATTTGTTCAGTTGTTGTTTGATTAATTTCAAACATTAATATATGTATATATAAATTTAATGTTGTATGAATTTTATGCATCTGCATTCGCTTCTTGCATTATATGAACTTTTAATAATGGTTTGCCATTGAAGTGAAAAACAGTGGTCGTTTTGTGTTGCGCTCAATGTTTGCATGATATTTTAAGCAAAGAGAAAAATATATGATACTGTGACGGTGCAAGTGTTGTAATCCTAAGTGTATACTAATAAGTAGAAATATCTGAATGTCTAGATGGGAATATTGTGTGTACATTTTTCTGTCATAAATCTGTATGTAAAATTTGAAATTAAACTGTATTATTTTCTGGTCAAATAAATGCTAATATAAAATAGCGCCTTTTGCTGTTCTGTACTTTTATTGATAAGTTATTTGCCTACTTCCTTGCATCTTATAAATAACCACCTCAGCTGAATCATTAAGAGAAAAACTCATTAGGTATCCGAAGTTGTCAGGACTTCTCTTTCTTCTAATACTCTTTGGAAACATCACGGGAGACCTGAGTAGAAACAGAGAGTTTACTTAAAACTATGTTCGTTGACTGGGAGGGGGGTCGAAGATATGACAAAAATGGAAAGGGTTAAATTACCCTTTATTTCTCACAGCGTACAGCCGATCCCGGTCTTCGGGATACAAAGACAAGCACTTATGGTCTGAAACTTAAACAATAAGAAGAAACTAGGTTAATTAAATAAGAACTAAATTCAGATATTTTACAAAGACTAGTAACGGGAAGACTGGCCTTTTAAACTCTACGTTATGTAGTGAGCAAAATGCGAGAAACTACAATACGTCTTCAAGTATCAAAGAGAACTAAGTTCTGGTTTTAAAGGCAGACAGGAACAGAGCGAAAAGCGCGCGGAGGGGGGGGGAGTAAGGCAGCGAGAAATCTATCTCTCTAACCCTCCCTTGGCTGAAAGGCCATGTCTTAAATACTTAACAATTTGCAAGAGCAATTTGCATAACCAAATCTGTTCGCGTTTATTCTGGCCAGAATGGAAAATAAGAGAAGCTAGCAAAATTTTAAAATAAAATAAACGTTAGTAAAACTTAAAATCCTTACATACATCCTGCTAGAATTGAATAGTTCGGAAATAAGGTCTAAATGACCTTAATTTATTTCACTTCTAAATTCTAACCCTAACGCGAGACCTGTTCTTACAAGCATTCTAACCTAGGACTATTATTTCTAACCTAGAAACTATCTACGTAATGTTTACCTGAAGGCATGCTGTGGATACAAAGATTCTTCATCTATACTTCAATCTAAAATACAATTTTTCTTCTGATTTATCTGGCTCCTTCCAGAGACCTGAAAAGACAAACTAATTTAGTATTTTGGTACAGCATTTTAGATGGCAAATAGCATGAACACGTTTCTTTTAAAAGGGCGCTATTCTCAATTATCTGTTTCATTCATACTTTTATTTAATTATCTCCCCGTACTCTCTGACATATGTTGTAAACAAAGAAATATCAAACACGGGCGTATATATGTACAGGTGTTATACACTACCGCCTACAATCAAAACACTAACGTGTTAAAATTCGACATAACAAGACCTGAGAACACGCTTTACAATCAGCTCGAAACCCTGAAATACTACTCTAAAGAGGTGAGCTAACCTACATTCATTCATTCAATATTTAGCACACATTTACAATGCATAGGGCTATTTTCAGTCATACTATTATATGTTAATTCATAAGTTTACTATTACTATTCATAAGTTTACTATTATATGTTAATTCATAAACTTTAGCATTTATATAATACTTTTACTTTTAACATATCAAAGTACTTCTAAATTTTAAGAGAACAGTTCACATTTACATAAGAACACATTAACATCTCCTTAACTTTTAAAAATTTCCAAAACATACAGTAGTAACGAAATGTTTTGTTAATTGTCTTCTCTTCAAGGCAAGTGCTCTTTTTTACATTTAAATAGTACATTTCATTTTTATAGAAGTCCTTCAGACTAAAATGCAAAAAAACGAAAGAAGAAGAAAGAAGAGTTTTATTGAAATGTTCTAGTAAAAATCATTTCTCGCCTATTTGGCTCAAAACGTGACCTCACTTGAGGTAAAGCTTCTCGCTAAGTCTGCCACTTGCAGTTAGGAACAAAAAATTAACTCACTAAAGTAACAAAAAGTTTTACTTACCTTTTCTGATATTCAGCCATGCGTGTTGCCGCCCATTCCTGAAACGTTGCGAAGACAGTGGTCTGCTTCAATGGACGATTATTATTTATTTTGAAATTATGATTTAATGCTATTTAAAACCCGGGCGGGCGGAAATTAACACAATTAACTAATTAGCATATTGGGTAGGACTGGACACACGCCTTTATTAACTTTTGCAATTCAGGAAAATAAACTGCTTCGCGTACTCGTTGGACAGTTTCTCGAATGCCCAAATGGTCTGACATAGGCAAATCATGTAACTCCTTAAATATATATTTAATACAAGACTAGCTGGGATAACACGTCGAAACTCGTGGTTATTATTCGTAGTCTTCGTATAAAATAACAAACCATCTATCAGTTCGTAATGAGCCACCCTGTTTCTTACTGCCACAAAATCTTGGTGACTAAAGTTTTTGGGATCTCTTAAATAATCATATATATTTTATAATTCAGAATCGTTGCCATGTTCGGCTAATACGGTTTTTATAGAGTCTATTATTTTTTATGTGAGCATTGCCACTTTAACTGTGAACCGCTAACAGTACCGCAAGTGTTTCTCTATCAGTGGCCGAATAATTCTTTTGAGTATCATTTAATGTACGACTAAAGAATGCCACGGCCTGCCCATTTTGGGAAAGCACTGTCCCTACTGCGTAAGCCAACGCGTCTGCCGCAGTCTCTACATTTTCCTCATTTTCGGGGAATCTCAAAACAGGGACTTGTGTTAACGCTTGTTTTAATTTTTCAAAAGAAATATTAGCTTCGGCTGTCCAAGAGAATCTTGCCTTCTTTAATTTCAATAGTAATTCGGCAATAATTGCGAAATCCTTTATAAAAGATCTGTAGTAGGAACACATTCCTAACTTCAGATAAGAACACTTCTAGATAAGAAGATATTTTTTTCGCAGTATTTGGCGGCTGGTAATTCTGAATGGCAATTATTTTTGATTTATTTGTTTCAATTTCGTTCTGGGGAATTTTATACCCCAAATAATGTAATTCTTTTGCTGCAATTTTACGCTTATCATCATTAACTTTCAGAACGGCCTCATTTAACAACGAAAACACCTCTCTTAAGTCTTTAATTATGTTGTTCAAATTATCACTGCTGACAATGATATCATCCTAATATATAAAGTGCTCTTCCCTAGGATGGGTCTTAAAACAATGTCCATAAAACGCTGAAATGTTGCTGGTGCGCCCGACAGGTCAAACGGCATACGCAAAAATGCGTAAGTGCCAGAACTTAGTTATGAACGCAGTGTTTGGTACATCAGGCTTTACGCCTACTTAAAAATAACCAGATGTTAAATCTAGTGTAGTCATATATCTAGTGGAAGTTATATTTCTCAAGATTTCCTGAATAATGAGTAATGGGTACACTGGATATTTTGCGACGTTGTTTAGTTTGCGATAGTCTATTGCAAAACGTCACCTTTTTCGGGTGTGTAACCAGGTATTCATTATTTTTTTTACGTAGAATAACCGGACAATGGGAGTGATGATCTTTTTACTTAGCATAGCTTCGATATGCCACTCAATAACTTTTTTTTTAGATTTATCGTAACGATACGGCCTTATGTCTAACCGTTTGTGAGTCTCCAGTATCTATTCAGTGCTGCGTCACTTGTGTAAAAGCGCGATTGTCACGGAACAAAGTCGAAAACCCACTTACCACTTGTCGCAGCTTTTCTTGTTCTTCGCATGGCAAGTGCTGAAAATTTAATGTGGCAAAATCACCTGGATTATTTCAGGATCCGGCCGGCTTCCATATAGCAGTTTAAATACTTGTATTTTTCTCGATATGAAATTGGAAAGCTCCTCAATTCTTCGCTGGTATATGCTAAAGAGTTCCGCCTCCAACTTGGCTCGATTTCTTACTACCGAGAGGGTCTTTACTAAAGCAGCACAATTATCATGCACTGTTTTTTCATGAAACTTATAGTTTTAAAGACATATTTCTCAGAACATTGCCAAGCGAGGAACATCACTAGGGAGAACTTAAGCAGTATTTACAGGATACCATACATATTTGTTCATTAACTAGAATTTGTAGTGCCTGGTCAAAAATATCAGTTCCTGCTAATTCACTAGCGAAGACCGTGAGAAAGAGAAAACAAAATTTAAACGTCTTGAAAAAGTATAAATATTTATCACATATAATATCTATCACAATAGCAATAATTACAGACGTTTTAACATTTTCAACTGAAACAAGTACATAAGATTAGTCTTAATGTAGATTTTTAAATTTAAAGATAGTATAGCTTTTCGTCCACAGCCTAAGGCAACAATCAATTACTTTTGTTTTCGGCGCCTGCTGCTCGCCATTTGAATTTAAGACACTGAATTTTTGCATTACATAAAAGTCACTTGAAGTGTAACGAGTCAATTTATACATAGACAAGAAGTATAAAGCAGTAAGTTTTCAGTCTCAAATATCCAAAGTATTTTCCTTTGGCACGAATAGAAGAACAGCCTTTCTACCTATTGCAATAATAATTTAAAAAAGGAGTATTCAAAACCCTTCTTTGAAAACATGCCAAGTTCAATAGCATATTCATTAGCACAGTACATAGTTCACTAACTTTTGCAAAAGAATAAAGTATATAAGTTATAAGGCGTAGTTTTCCTACATCAGTACAGAATGCAGATATCACTCAACGCAAACCAGCCGACAGCCAGCGGATACGGAGTAGATATTATACAGAGACTACAAAAACTGTGCAATCGTTTTATCTTTCTTCGCTGATCTGTTAACCAAGCGAATCAAGGAGCGCAGGGCGTTATCTTGATTCAAAATGCAATCAAAGTTCGTATTTCTCAGCATTTCCAAGAAAATACATCTTTAAAAGACATTTCGGCATCCTCTTCAACAACCATTTGCGAAATTCTAGTAATAGTGCCTCTTTAATTAAAAGCATAAACATCGAAAGCCTGCTCGATATTCAACTTCTTCTAGAAACTTCTTACCGTTCACAGATTTTTTTCGCCCTTGAGACTGCTGTTCTCTGCTTTTGTTCGCTTTATTTATGCATGTAATTTTTAATGTTTATTTATACATGTAACCTTTAATGTTCTAATGAACTTACTTCTGTAAGCCCCGTGTTGTACATATGTGGTGCACGGGGAGTCTGTATGTTCTCA